GCACCTAAAATAAAATACATAGAAGTCGAGGAGGCAAAGACGATCTTAGGCGGAACAAATCTAGGAGATGAGCTGTTATTCGAAGTAACTGTGAAAAACGTTGGAAGGTATATCATGCTTGAGCATTTACATATATGTATATAAAATTAATGAAATAATTTTTTATATGTAAATTATGAAATAGCCAAGATATTTATGACGTTCATTTGACTCTTTTCATAAAGAAGACTTCAAAAGCATCCACAACATCAATAACAAAGAGCCGTTCCAAATGCATCCCAATTATTTCGTCAACGGCCGAAAAAGCAGTGTTAATATCTGTTGTAGATATTCCCATGGATGCAATAATTGATGGTACAGAGTTTGGGGCACAAATATGTTTTCGGCTATCGACAAACTCGAATTATGGACATGAAAATCCGTTTTTCTCGAACATTAATCAAGATTGGAAGATCGAATGCGTGGAAGAGTTCAGACAAGTTAATAAAATTACATGCGGTAATAAGATTCCAGTTACAACAAGTTATGTTACCAAAGAACGCTATTCCTAACTTCATCACTAATTTTGATTTCAAACTTTTCGAATATCGATTGCTCACATCGCCTTGCGTATTTCATCTTTAGATGAGCATCTCATGTTTCCAACAACAATTGAATTTTATCTTTCATGTACAAACACCACGTCAAATCAGTCTAATTTATCAGTTATACCAAACTTATTGGAACAAATTGGCGCATGGGAGACTTTGGTAAATTCATTTATTACAAAAATAAATTGTGTTTATGCGCATTACTTATTAATCACCAACCTTATTGATTACTAGGATTTTTTCACATCAAATACTAATGAAACGCATCTTCCCAGAGCTTTCCAGGCCAAAGATGAGCTTTTCGCTATATTATTATATCCTATGACTACTTCAAACATGGCTGTGTCTTTAGCAGATACGGCCAAACTACAAGTTCAAGCTAAAACCGATAGAGTGGCGCTTGGTGTTTTGAGAAAAATGAAGATGAACTTGCCAGAAGATATCCTTTTTGTATCATAACAAATCCGTATTATTGTGCTTTTATTTTAATCCGCTGTCTTTATTCAAATTAAATATTTCTTTAATTCTTGTTGGTTTTAATGAAAACGCGTCATCATGTCAAGGGGAGATGTAACTTCATCTGCCATCTATTCAAATGAAGCTCTTGATTTCTTATCCATGGTTAGATCGGAAAATGATGATTATCATCATTACAATGAAGATTCTCAAAGCTGTCATCAACTAGACAATAATTTTGATCCTGTATTAGAAATACGCAAATTATGCCTCAAACTATCACATTTTTTCGATAGAGAAAAATAATAAATACAACCGACTCTCGTTATAAGACACTCTCAATAAAAGAAAAAGTTTTCTTGTCCCAAAACAGTATTATATAAATTATACTATCCGATAAAAGAAACTCCCGTTATAAGAATTAAGGCCGACCCGACCACTTTCTTGTAATGGGAGCCAATTGTATCTATAAATTATGTAATAAACAAAATTAATATGATTCAATTATATAATTTACAATATTTACAGGACCGTATCGTTGTCTCTTATAAGTATGTCCCTTCCTTTCAAAACCCTTTTAACACTTTCAATAGGGACTTCGCGTCGATGAAAAATGCCAGCAGCCAAGGCAGCTTCAACCCCCGTCTCACGGAACACCTCAACAAAATGGTCCTCATTTCCTGCACCACTGGAAGCGATAACAGGAATTCGTACTGATTTTTTCACGTCACGAATTAATTCAATATCATATCCGGAATTTGTACCATCCCGGTCCATACAGTTCAACAAAATTTCACCAGCACCCATCACTTCGCACACGCTAACCAATTGATGCACGTCAATATCACGTGCTTCTCTGCCTCCTTTCACTGTACATTGATACCAACAATATCTTTCGCCGTTTGGACCAGGTATCGATGTTTCAAGACAATGGTGATAAGTATCCGCGGGAGTTTTGACATATACTCTTTTTGGATCAACTGAAATCACAACTGCTTGAGATCCATATGCATGCGCTATAGTTTCAATAGCTGTGTCTCCATCGCACTTTTTACCATTTTTTAGGTATTTCTCTACAGCATATACCGCATCACTGCCTATTGAAACTTTATCGGCACCCGAACGAAAATATTCACCGGCAACTTCAAGAGCTGAGTGAAATGTTCCGTCCGGATCGATGATGTCACGAATTCCACCGCCGATTGTTAAAGGGACAAATACTGTCTCTGATGTACGACGCAGTATTTCTAACATTGGTAAATCGGTCAGTGGAGAATTACGGAAACTGGTGATATTAAGAAATGTGATCTCGTCAGCACCTTCGTCAAAATATCTTTTAGCCAAATCAACAGGCTTCCCAAGATTTCTTACTTGACCCACATTTATTACGTTAGGCAAACCATTATTAGTACTGATGTAGTTGTTGCCATTGGCAGTAGTAGTCATGCGATCCCTAACATCATATTGGTCACCCTTTGTAACTACTAAATCACCTTCATCATTCGTCCGTACATCGAGACATGCAATTATTCTTTTTCTAAATCGGTCTCTTTTATTATCATTATTATTTGTGTTAACATCATCTGGATTTTGAATGATGTTTACATCTTTTAGTGCAATCTGAACTGCTGCACCATTTATCTCTAAAAACGCCTTCAAAACGCGGAGTCCCGAGTACCCACTTTTCTCTGGATGAAACTGTGTGCAAAATATGTTATCTTTTTGCACGACACTGACGAATTTCTCGGTGCCATATTGTGTAACTGCAAGCGTCCATTCCTTTAATTGGTTACTATATGGGACAGCGTAAGAGTGTACAAAATAATACGCTGTTCCTTGTTTTATCCCGTAATGTAGAACATCTTCATTTAT